CGTCTCTGGGGCCACCCAGCAGAGAATTCGATATTTTGGGAAATGGGGAGGGGGTGTGGGTACGAGTGAGGGCAGTTGAGTCTGCAGTTTTGGTCTTACCACTTGTTCAAAGAACTTTCAGCTAGTATCTAAGGTAATTAACTGATATATCCCGCCAATCCTAATACATACAAATGATTTTCTGTTAGATTACATTATGCTGACAATGTTATGGGCTAAATGATATTATTAAGTTTTAACATTATTAAAGGTGTGCACTAAAATCTTGAAAGTTGATAAACCTCTCGGAATCAGGCTGAGAAAAGATCAAAAAGAGTTTGCGAAATTCTGGAGTGGCGTCGTCAGCTTTGTTATTCTGAATTCAGATAATACATAACGACAAAACACAGTGTAACAGTGTACATATCGACAGAAACCCTCACCGAATCCAACAGTGGTGTTTTCTAAGGGCCGGGGCTATATAAAGACCTGAAAGTGGTCCCTATTCACTTGCGTGTGGCCGATTGTTGCGTTGTATTGAACACACCGCTTTTGCCTTGGTGGGTGCGAAAATCGTTGGCTGGAAGCTATAGGGCCGGGTGGATATGCTTTTACGGCCAGACAAGTGGGTCGCTTTATCCGACCGCACAGCCAACACTGGCGCTCTCGTGATTTGTGCAGTGGGAACCAGTTATCGATAGTTGGCTGATATTCTATAACTTTCTGTGTACCCTGGTGAGGTTTGTGAATATATGTGCGCGTTGATTTCGAGACCCTTTTCGGGGTTTTGTAATTTTTCTTTTCAAGTTTGGATCGTTCGGCTTTGTTCACTTTTCTTTCCCCGCGTACTGGTCGACCGTTTCTAAAGGACGACGTGAAAAGAAAAAAGAAAATGGACATACGTATATAAGCTTGCCGCACTCCATGTTATGTTAGTGACAGTGAATACCGTTAGACATCACACTAACAGTGCGTTCAGTCTCTTTCTGAAAATGTGACGTTGTTTCTGGCGGTTTTGTTCAGTGAAAAGTGAGCGTTCCTGAAGTGACAGCTGCCTTTGAAAAGTAAAAAGGACTTACATATAATAATATATACATGCTTAAGCTAACAAATGACTATATAATGTTAGTCTGAAATATTGAATGTGGTTAGTCTTCAGGGTAAGGGTGTGTACTCTCTGTGAAAGTAAAGAAAAATAAACCTCGAGACTGGTATTCCAAAAGTGACGGCTTCCTTAGAAAAGTAAAACGGACTTACATACAATAATATGTTTGAGGCTAGCCAATGACCTTACTATTATGATTGTAGTCTGGAACATTGAATGTAGTTAGTCTTCAGGGTAAGTGGGTGTTCTTTCTGTGGAAAAGAAAAGTAAAGTAAAACTAACATACAATATACTGTAAATGACTCTATAATTTCAGTTCGGAATGTTGTATGTTGTTAATCTTCCGAGAAAGGGTTTTTTCTTTCTGTGAGAAAGTTAAGTAACACTGACATACATACTATAACAGTAATACAAGTCCAATCTTACAAACTATGGCTGTATAATTTCAGTCTGGAATATTGGATGTATTTAATCAAGATAACAGGAATGTTTTTTGGTGATGCCCGTGTTCTAATGATTAGGCTCTCAAACTCTCAGCGTAAGGTCATGGGTTCAAATTTTGTTAGAGGCTCGACATTGTGTCCTTGAGAAAGGCACATTTCACGCATTTTCTTCACCTCACGCATGTGAAAATATTATTATAAGCTTAGCATTGTTATCCTCATTATTATCATGGTGATTATTATTATTATTGTTAGTAGTAGTAGTAGTAGTAGTAGTAGTAGTAGTAGTAGTAGTAGTAGTAGTAGTAGTAGTAGTAGTAGTGG